GGAGTCCCCGGGGGAACCAGGACCAGAGGGTTCTGGGTTGGAGTCCCGGGGGAACCAGGACCTTTCTGGGTGGAGTCTGCATGTTCTCCTGTGTCTGTGGGTTCTCTCCGGGTTCTCCGGCTTCCTCCCACCCTCCAAAAACCTGCATGTTAGGTTGGTTGGACTCCAAACTGCCCTTAGTGTGAGTGTGTGTGGTTGTTGTGTGTCTCTGTGTATCCCTGTGATGGACTGGGGACCGTCCAGGGTGACCCCGCCTCTCCCCATTGACCACTGGGATAGGCTCCAGTCCCCCTGATACCCCATTAGGGAATAAGCGGTTATGATTGTGGATGGATGGATGGACTTGAGAGATATCTTTGAAGATTTGAAATGATGATTTAAGATTATCCTCCTACACTGTCTGTATCTCCTTTCCCATTCCTGTACCTCTTTGAAGATGTGACTTACAGCTCACACTAATCAGGATCCCTGCAGATTCCAGAAACTAAGAACGGCTCATAATGGAAATTATTCCTTTGTAGCATGGTTTTGACGATGGGACTTTTAGAAGCCGAAGACACTGATGCATCTATGGTTTTTTGGAATAGCTAGAGGAAGACTCGTTGGGGAACAGCACGGTTAGTCTGCAGCTTGTTTTTTGTATATCAGCCCTGACATGGCTGTCAGTCATTTAACTGAGGCATTCCTGATTCCACTCCTATAATTTAAGACCTTTAGTTAAGCCTACACCTTTGTGCGAGCGATCCAAAACAAAGACACGCAATCTTCCTTGAGAGATTCCATCAGATGCAGGGCAGACAATGGCTGTGATGGCTTCCTTTGTGTGTTGATAAATACTCAGGATGATTTACTGTTGCCTCAGGGATGTAGCCATTAATTGACCATTATCTCTTAGACCTACCATCAGCACTTTTTTTTTTTCAAATAAGTCAACTTTTGTTGCCCGGCTAATTACTTAAGATTATGTGGACGGGGGATAGATTGCTTAAGAATTTCCCGAAAAGATAGTCTTACAGCTACCAGCACTTTTCCTGAGCTTGCCTTCCCTGGTGTTTCGCTTCAGTGTGTACCTGTGTGCCCCCATCTCCTACTTCCTACGAGCCCTGGACAGTCCCTCTGTTAGATTAAATGGGATCCACATGTGACAGTGGCAGCTGGAATCGGCTGTGGTCAGCTGTTATACCTGGCATCTGTGAAGGGGTCACCTGTTTGGACGGCCTGGGATGGTCAGGGTCAGGGTTGGCTGGGTTAGTTGAGTTGTCAGGTCTTTTGTATTTCCCTACAAGACATTTAACTCGTTGACTGCCAGCCATTTTCAGAACAGAGTCCCATACTGCCAGAGTTTTTTGAGCATTTTGACTGATTTTTCAAGAGCCACAGAATAGTTTGTGCTATGACTATGTAAACACCGAACACACCAAAAGAAAGAGTAGACTTTCTTCTTTCAACAGGAAAAAAAAAGTGTTTCTACCTTATTCCGTTCTTCCTGGACTTGCGTCTCACCGGCGACATGTTCTCTCATAGCGAACCGTTAGCTTTTTCTTATTTGCCTACAGTCTATGCTCATCTCCCATCAAAAGTGGCACTGCCCCCTAGAGGGTCAATTTGTTACTACATACTCTGTCTAGAAGCCCATATTTATGGACAAGCTTTAGCAGATCGTCCCCCAGCCACTCTCGTTGAAAAACATAAAAGACGTCTATAGACGTCTTTGGCAGTCAACGGTTGTATTTGAATTGACGTCTATAGACGTCTTTGGCAGCCAATGAGTTAAAGGAGAAGAAAAACCTTCTTGGGTTGTGGTGTTTGTTGCTGTTTAACGTGAATCTGCGTTTGGGGAATGGCGTTTGGTCGGGTGGCTGTAGGTCGCCATGAATACTCTGGTGTAAGCATTTCCACATCTGAACACGACATTGACCCCGAAGCTGCTCTACAAGAGCCTATACAACACACCAGAACCAGATTCCTTCACCCAGCCCCAAAACGTCACCAATCTGATGCTATCCGTAAGAAGAAAGACGAATACACAAAGTAATAACTCTACGACCCACAGGGCCAAAAGGATCTGCTGCTCATTCCCAAATCAGAAACAAACCAGGACTCCAGATGTTTCTTTGTTCACATCCTGGTTGCCCGCTGCTGTTTTTGGGGAATTGCAGAAGCTCCCCTCTGAATGTTGAAGCTGATTGGTGTGTGTGATTTATCAGGCAGAGTCCAAAAAGTCCTCTTTCCCTTTTGGGAGAGTTCAGATGTGGACTCTGTCTCAGAGTCTGTCGGTTCCCCCCGGCCCCTCGTCTTCATTTAGGGAGCTGAACAGCAGTAGATAAACAGTTGGTTTTTCCTGTGTCTCCGCATTAATCGTTCATTTCGAGGGTTAAAAGAGCAAAGTCAATGAGGAGGAGAAATTCTCATCCTATTATCGGCTTGTGGGTGCAAAGTGAGCGGCTCAGCGATGAAGCCAAGCATAAAGATGATTGCTGCACTAATAGAGCTCCTGATGCTCCACATTGTTCTAATTACAGAGTCCTCCTCTTTTAGCAGCTGAGGAATTAACGGGAGAAAACTATTTTCTCACTGTCATAATGACACATGGCCTGATGAGAGAGCCGGGGCTGACAAAAACTCTCGATTCCGGCTCTTTTATTCTTTATATCTCTTTCAGGGAATCAGAGGACAAATACATCACCCTCAGTATTGAAAGCACATAAATCTTGTTTTAAGAGGCTTGTGTCTCCTCACAGGTTTTCAGACAAAGGCTGAGGCTTTTATTTATGACCCGAGTCTCTGTTTGCTGTGCGGCGTCTTCAGCCAAACAGTGGTTTTACAGATGAGCCGGGACGCAGGTTTTAATCAGAGATGATAAAGACGAGATGTGGGCGGAGCCTGCCACAGATCAGTTGAGTTTGATATCAGTCCTGCTGCTTTCTCCAGGGCCAAACAGACCACTTTATTTTGCCCGGGTTTCCATTACAATGTCCCGGCTGGAGCAGGGAGAACCCTTCACGGCCCTGGAAAGCTCACAGCAGACGCCTTAGCTAGATTCAGTGCTGCCTCGCCTTCATTTTCCTTCAGACACACGGCATAAGATGCAATATAAAACCAGATGAAGTTACAGGCAAGGCATGTAACTTTATTTGTACAGCACATTTTGTGTACAAGACAATTTAAAGTGCTTCAGTCTCACTTCTTCAGGAAGACTGATCCAGATTTTAGGAGCCTGGAGCTGAAATGAAGCTTCACCTGGTTCAGTTCTGACTGTGGACCCCATCAGGAGACTATATATATATGTGTGTGTGCATGTATAATTTATTCTTGTGTGCTGAGGCCATGACACTGTTTTTTTATTTTTTTTACCTCGATTTGGTCTATGACACTGGATTTTTTTTGCCTTTTCTGACTCCAACCAACACTCAGAAGTATTTTTGTTTTAAGATAAACGTTTGAGTGGAAGTTCAGTGCTGTACCTAACGTAAGGTGTGTGAGGACACACTGGTGAGGGCCTGAGTCTTTGGTATTTACCAGAGCAATACACAATGAGAAAGTCAAGTGAAAAAGCAGAGAGATAGAAAGGATAGAAAGATCATGCAGACTGATATAACAGTACCCAGAACACAGCAGCTCACCACTGACCCCACGACAGGCCTTCTCCTCCTGTGATTTGAGCAGAGTTTTCCCTGTTGATGGACTGGGCGGTGTTCTCCTGCTGGCATTGTCTCACAGGGAGAGGCCCATCCGTCTTTTCTTTAATAATGTCTTATTCGCTCTCTTGCCATCACGGTAAAATGAAGTCGTAATTACTGGCCTTAATTGATGTGGCTTTACCACCTCAGACCATTCTTCAGCCCTTTCTTCCCTTTACTGTAAGGGCCCCAGCGCTGTTGTTTGCACTATATTTCTGCACTTATCGATTGCTATTATGGTAAATCCAATAGGCACAATTGAACTCTGTCAGCAAAACGTAAGTTAATTATCTCAGGGTCAACCACTCTGGAATTGTCACAAAGACTTAGCTGTCCTGCTTTTAGGTGCCGCATTAAATTGCAAATAGAAATGATTGGAACCCCTCGATTTAATAAATATGGGAGATTTGTTATTCGGAAAGTATGAAACTACTCAGGACCACTATCTGGAATGATTTGACTTCCTCAGTATTTGATAAACTGGTAAATGTAAAGCATGAAATGTAATCGATGCCAGATACATGTATTTTTTGCACATAACCAAATGAGATTAAATAGTTTTTTGTGACAAACATCCACATAAAACCTCTCTATGAAGTATATGATTATTATCATTACTGAATTCGAGTTAAAAGTTAGATTTGAGCCTTTAACAGAGCTGTCAAACATTTGACTGGCTTGAGATAAATTGGCCTTATAAGAAGATGTGGGAGCATATTGATGAGAAGAACCAAAGTTAATGGAATTGATTGTGGATATTGCGTTTGCTTTCTGCAGGGACTCCGGTGAATCGGATTCCTATCATGGCCAAGCAGGTGTTGGATCTCTACATGCTCTACAAGCTCGTCACAGAAAAAGGTGGCTTAGTGGAAGTCATCAATAAAAAGATATGGCGTGAGATTACCAAAGGCCTTAACCTCCCTACCTCCATTACCAGCGCAGCTTTCACTCTCCGAACGCAGTGAGTACCCACCACAGACACACACACACACACACACAGACACACACACACACACACACACACACAGACACACACACAGACACAGACACAGACACACACACAGACACAGACACAGACACACACACAGGCCGGGGAGGCTGCTTTTGTAGGGAATTCTGGGAGTTAGATCAGGCTGCTGCTGCCCTTTGGTTCAGATGGATCACAGACTGACAGTACCAGCCCACACCTGCCATCATATACGTACAAATACAGATTAGACATCAATCTGGAATAAATTCCTTCTTATATTGATGCAAGTTTTCTTTCCTTCTTTGAATGTTTTAGTAGTTTCAAATGTTTCAAACACAACTTTGAAACACTCAGAGATCAGTGGAAAAAAGACATTGGTGAATGAACACTTAAGTTCCTTTTATTTGCCTTAAAGGTGAGTGTCGTAATCACTGGACAGTGCTGTGACCTGCTAAACCAGTTCCAGAAATCAGACTGATTTTCTGCTGACAGTCTTTGGTAAACCAGACTAAAACTAATTTGAACTGACGTTAATGAACCGTACATTCATGTGGCTAAAAAGCCAGCCAGACCAGGTTTTCTGGTAAAAAACGCTGTCAGTTATCCTGGGCTCAGGATACCCGGACAGGGGTTCATCCCGCTGTAGGCCCAGTGGAACCGTTGTGTTTGTTGGCTTTATTCATAGAGCACATTTCATCTGATGTGAACCGGACAGTTGGACAGACGAGCTCCTCTTTGTTTGCTCCAAACGACAGGGATGGATTTGAATTCCAACATGTCCGGATGGTACTCAGGGCAGGACTCAGATGTGGGGAGATAGAAATAAATAAAAAAAACGTAAATCAAAGCGCACTCGCAAAAGTACAAAAAAAGAATAATAATCACTCAAAAGAGGACAGACTAGAAAAGGAACAAATAAAGATCAATGGAATCGAGGCAGGCAAAAACCATGAACAAAGTATCTAAATAATACTCGCTCAAAGGCGAGGCAGAAAAACTAAGTACCAAATCAAAATCCCCAGGTGAACACAACCAGTGATCAGAGAAGACATCAGACATATGACACACAGGGGAGTGCAGAGACCTGAAACAAGGAGAGAGTCACTATCAAAATAAAACAGGAAATGACAAGACAATAATAAAAATAACATTAATATAAAATAAGATACAATCAAATTAAATTAAATTAAATAATAAAATTAAAATATTAAAATTAAAATATTAAAATAAAAAATAAATAATTAAAAAATGATAATAAAGTGAAAGGGCTCATTCATTAGAAACTACAGATCCCACAGACAGAAGAACTAGTTCTGTTGATCTTCCTGTATTAACTGCACTCAAACATCACGTCGAAGACAACTGGACCTGAAACTGACCGGATCTACTGACCACCGGTCACAATGTTAAGTGACTTGAGGAGAAGCTGAGTCAGTGGAAGTGGGCCACATGTCCCTCTGTCTCCCGGTGGCTCAAAGACGGCATGTTTTTCCTAAAACTTGAGAAAATTAAATACACGTTTAGAGGATGTACTGTCAAATTTTTCAACAAATGGCAACCCTATATTTATTTATTATTTCCTATTTCACTAACCTAGAGGTACAACCCAACTGACTGTTGTAGCTCTTTATTTGGCATAAGTAACCATACATGTGGTTGGGTTTTTTATTTTTACTGTTCTTTACACGGTTCTGTCATTTCAATTAATTAAGAGTTTTTTTGTGTTTTTTTTCATTGCTTGCTCTTCTCCCTCTCTTCTGGTTCTTTTTTCTATATTTGACCGTGTACATATTCATATATGTTTTCTTTTTTTTTTTTAAAGGAAAAGATAAACTGTATTTCTGCGACGGGAATTATTGTATTGTGTTTTTCCCAATGAAAATATTTGGGAAAAAAACGTGAAAAAAAAAGCTGAGTCAGCCTTTGGCGTCTCTCCTCCAGGTACATGAAGTACCTGTACCCGTATGAATGTGAGAAGCGGGGGCTGAGCTCTCCGGGGGAGCTGCAGGCAGCCATCGACAGCAACCGCAGGGAGGGCCGGCGGCAGAGCTACGGCTCCGTCATCTTCAACTACTCCCCGGTGGGCACGCCCACCCTCCTGTCCTCGCCAAAGATGCCCCCCCACTTCCCCGTGCTCGCCCACCACGGCGCCCACGTGTCCCAGGGACCTGTGGTCAAGACGGGTAAAAACACCTCTCACAGTTAAAGAAGAGATCCGTTCTTAAAGAGGACGTCCTCCTCCCCCCCCCCCCCTTTGTTTTAGGGCATCTGAGAGCAGCTCTTTTCTTATTTGGCTGTAAAAAAGAGACCATTTCCTGTTATGTACTGGATCATTTTAGACCAGAAAGAGGGGGTCTCCCTGGAAACGTGGTGGAAGCCAGCATCAGGCCTGAATCTCCCTGTTTTACACCCCCTCCCCCATGTTTTTCTGAGGTGGATAACCTCTTTAGGATTGAAATAGCATGTTTTTCAGATCTTTTGGGCTTTTGGCAATTGATTGACTCATTGAAAATTCGGCTTCCCTGTAGGATAAATGAAGTATTCTTGAATTTTTTTTATTGAATGAGTCGTAGTGATCTGGAATCTCTGGAATTCAAGAGTGGACATGAGAGTTATTGTTTTATGATAATGATATAATATGTTTTTATATTAGTTAGAATATTGATAGTGATAATATCAGTGATGCACTGAGAGTCAGACTCTCAGACGTCCTGAAATATTTCCTTTGATTCTGTTCAAACTCCATTTCTTTCATAAATGATGCCATTGTGTAAATCTTTTTATAATAAGGCAATGAAAACAGACCCATTTAAAGGAACCCATTTTAGATTTCACATGACTTCAGATGAATCTGCTGCAAACAGAAAGTTCTGACCCTCTAATCAGCGTTGGTTTGTCCAGAGGACCCCCTGGCCCGGTGTTTGCCCGGTCGAGTGGCCATCCACATGTCTCCGGGCGGCCCCCCCGCCCAGACGGCCGCGCTGGGGCAGCTCCGGGAACATCTGGACGGGCCCGAGCCGCCGCAGAAGAAGATGATGCTGGTGGCCGAGGAGCAGCAGAAGCTGATGGAGACGGCCCTGCAGCAGAACCTGATCGCCATGGCAACCCAGCTGCCCCTCAGCATCAAGGTCAACAACAGAGGTGAGGGCCTCCCCCACGCACGGGGGCTTACCGTGGACTTTTCCTGTTTGTCTGAGGAAAAACAGCCAGTTCCTGATAGAGAGAGAGAGTTAAGGCTGCTCTGGAACCCTGCACATGGGGAGTTATCTTCACGATAACTAAACATGGAGTGTGTTCAGCCAGAGGCTGCCTCAGTTTGGCTGCATTAACAGCTGATAACTACTGTGAACCTTGGCAAAGAATGGGCCAAAAAATATTACTTACAGTGGGGGGAAAAGGTATTTGACCCCTTGCTGATTTTGCAGGTTTGCCCACTTACAAAGAATGCTTATTTTTCCTCATCAGATGGTTATCAATTTTTATAAATTCATATGATGTGATTTTCTGGAATTTTCTTTGGGATTCTGTCTCTCACTGTTAGAATGTACATATGATTAAAGTTATATATTGTTGCATTCTTTGTAAGTGGGCAAACCTGCAAAATCAGCAAGGGGTCAAATACTTATTTCCCCCACTGTAGATCGTTTTGGTTTAATCAAAAGTATTGCATAATCTCATTTGCCGTTTCAAAGCAAAAATAAGTACAAATAACAAAGAAAATGCAGCAAGACATGTGTTTTCATAGACTGGTTTGACCCCACTCAACCTATTTTATTTTCAGTCCCCACCTCCATGTGCAGGTCAATATGGAGACATCCTTTAAAGAGAAGCTTCTGTTTCTGATTTCTAATGGAGTCTGATCCCTGTTTGCTCTGTCTTTGCTCTCTTCTGGCCTATCAGCTGTACACCGTTCATTTTGCAGGCAGGTCAGCAGGAGGGGGGGGGGGGGGGGATTTTCCAACCAATGAAATATTCCACAATTGTTCTGCTGGAATGTGTTATTTCAACAACAGTTTAGCTCGTTCTGTGTTTTTAAAGGAGGAGTAAAGTGTATTTTACTGCTGTTTTAGGGTTAGCTTTTCTCTCCTGACATGGTGAGCCTACCCCCTCCTCCTCCATGGAGCCCCGGACCCTCAGGCCCGATCCCAGGCCGGCCCACATGGAGGTTTCGGAGTCCAGCTCATCAGGAGTAAAACTGGGGCTGAGCCTCAGCTGCCCGGCTGATGACAAGCCATAAGTCACATCTGCCTTAATGATAGAGGCTAAAGGAAGAATGAGAGGCCTACCTGCTCAAGTGTGATATCATTTCTGTCTGCATCACCGCCTCTCTCACATTAGTCATAATAGCAGGTTTTCCACTTAGCGCCTGATGAAAAAATGAGGGAGAACCTTTTTCTCAGGTTAATTCCCAGGCTGGTCGTCTGGCTCTGGTCCTCCCAAATAAATACTGTAATTTAAAGATTACTGCACCCTCCATTAACCGTCTCCACCCAGATGCACTTAGATCTTCCCCGATTGCTTTATTTGATGGCAGTTTGCTGAGCTTGCTCTTTGCGGTTTATTCGGTTTAAGCTCACCGTCGTGTCGTGTTTTATGGCGGAAGACAGCGGGGAGCTGGCCGTATGCTCACAGAGTCGACCGGCCTCGGCCCAGAAGGCGTCGGGGACCCGGTCTCATTTATTAGGTTTTCAGTGGGGGCCGTACACCGTTCACCGGACAAACGGCCGGAGCTTCTTTTGACAGCTCGTGGTCCCCGCAACGCTTTAATGAAGCTCTCCTTGTCCTGTCACTCTGTGAATCATCACCAATACTCCGCTCGCTTCTTCTGTTCCCTTTCTAAATGCTCATATTGAGTTTTTCTCTCTCCCTCTGTGCCTCCTCTCTTGACAGATGATAGACAAGAGACCGCATTGAACCTGTCTACCAACGGCATTAGCAGCATCAACATGTCAATAGAAATAAATGGAGTTGTCTACACAGGTAAATAGAGGGGCCGTTTGCTGGTGTAATTGCAGGCAGGAAATTCAATAAGTTATAGCAGCACCCTGGTGCTTAGTCCTCTGCGCAATTTGATGTCTTTGCTATAAAATCCATCACGATGAAGTGGCAGCCCAATAGAGTTTAAAAAGTTAAATATCTCAAAATTGGGCCTGTGGATTTGAGGTCGATGGGGCTTGTTGTTCGGTGTGTGTGAGTGTACGTGCGTGTGTGTGTATGTGTGTGTGTGTGTAAGTGTGTGTCTGTGTGTGTGTGGATACAGGGGTGGTTTGTGTCATGAATAGTTGTCTATCGCCACATGAACCCGGTGGCTGTGGCATCATAACTGTGTCGTCTTTCAGAGAGACACAGAGTTCGGACAAGACAGAACTTTGACCCGATCACCAAAATCTGTTCTTAAATTTGGCATATTTCAAATGGTAGTTGACTGTCTGATCCTTTCCAGAATTGGCTGATATTCAAGACATGTCATTAAATACACTGTATATTGAAAAATCCCCAAAAATCCAAAAGAGACTCACCTAGTTCTACTTAATATTTACCTCCTAACTGTACAGTTAGTGAGGAGTTCCACACATTGAGGATTGGCTTCACTTCTAGAGGCTTAAGCTACCTTTCAATATGTTTTCTTACTAGAATAAGAACGTTCTATTCATCGTCCCGGTCATATTGACGTCCACAGCCAAGCTCTATGAGATAACTATCATTTGGACTCCTTGTAAACTTCAGATGAGTCCGTTCTGGCCCCTACACACTCTGTACTATTTGCTGTTTTCATGGGAGCTCTGGCGTGGTAACATGGAGGACAGCCTGAGTCTAACTTCCCGTTTGCTCCTCAGGTGTCCTGTTTGCTCAGCAGTCCACCATCTCGATGATGACCGGGCACCGCGGGAAGCACAACAGCTGGAAGACTCAGGGAGGCTCCAGTCCCGCACACTTCCAGCCCCCTTGCTCCTCCTCCTCCTCCTCCTCATCCTAACCCCGCGTCCCGTGTGTTCCCTCGCCCCCTCCTCTTACATCTGCTTACCGAGTCGGCCGTGGTCACCCATCAACTCCTGACGTAGCCCGGAAGAAGCCAAATGCAGAATCCATCCTGAGCTCCCTCAAAAGAGCCGAACAGTTAACCTTCTAGCAAGAAACTGCAGAAACTCTAACCCTAACCCAGCAAAACACCAAAGAAAAGACACGTGTGCTGCTTTAACCAGTGGTCCTCGCCCCACCAGAGGGCCTCAGCAGGGACAACTGACCACAAGGAAGGAAACAATGAAAGTTCCTATGGTCTTTAGATTGAGCTGAACAGTATGTTGTTTTCAGAAACTCCTGAAAAGGACCTGAAGCTGTTGATGTTCCTGGGATGAGGTCTGTCTCCTCCCAGGAGAACGAGCACAGGACAGTGGGAGCTCCACTGGCTAAAGTCCACTCGGCACACTGGCTGGATGTGTGAACGGACACATGTTCTAGCCTCAGGCAGCTTCTGATGGGATCTGCCACCAGCCCTGCCCTCTGTTCAGTTCTGCAGCGTTGTGTTGGTAAAAAGCTCTCCATGCATGCTCAGTGTGGCCCTGAGCTCCACAGTGACCCAAACCCTCCCCCTGACCCACACGCCCTTTAAGGCCTGACCAGCCCTTCATCCCACCGGCAAGATCCCTGCGTAAATGATGCTGTCAGTTAGAGATCACCCCGTGTGTAAACGGGAATCCGGAGGTCCTCCAGCAGTTGCTTTGGCTCGGCTTTCTTTTTACATCCCTTCTGTCCATTTAGAAGAATCCTGTCCGCGGACGGCAGGGCTAGGGGCCACATTTTGTGTACAGCTAAATATGTAAGGGTGCAAACATGTGATGTCCAGGTTGGTGAGGGCCAGGTGGTAGGAGGCTCCAGACCAATCCGGAGCTGATTGGACACGTGTGGCTCACCATTAGACGTGATGTTGGGAGGGGCTGGACATTAGTTTGTTGAATTGGCGTTGTGAGAATGGATCCTGAGCAGCTCCTCTAAGCATTACTCTGGTCCACGCGGCCTTTTCTGTCTTCATCCAGGCCCCGCAAATAAGTGGAGATAAGGCTGAGGTGAGGGACTCCACCTTCTGCCATCAGCTTTTCGGGAACCAAACGGCAACCAAACGGCAACCAAACGGGGAGAAGAGCATTCACAGGACTTTGGAAGGGGTTTAATGGCTGGGAATGGTGTCATGCTTTTAAAAAGCGTCACTATCTGAGGGCCCCATAGCAAAGAACTAGCCCTGGTTCCATGTACCACCTTTAATCAGATTAGCCGTCCACCTGAGTCTTCCTTCTCTTTTCCCAGGTTGAGGACTGAGCAGGAATTCAGTTGGGGTCTCTGGGTTCCTCGGTAGGCTCTGGATCTGAGCTGTAAAGGCTCCCACTCTCCAGCGGTTTACAGGCAGCTGCAGGTCAGGGGGGGGTAGCGTTAGGAGAGCCTCCATTTTTCTTCTTCTGCTGTTATATTTCCCGCACGCTAGCAGTCGGGTCCATTTAAAGCTGTTCAAATTGCTTCAGTTTCTATCTATTTCTCTAAAAACACCATGGAAGTAAGGGCAGGCGCTGTTGCAAAATGTTTAGTGTCACAATATATGAAGGACCATAACTTTCATGAGTTTAATTGGTTTAATTTTTTAGAAGTCACATAACTTTGTCTGATCGATACTGAAAACGTTTCTACTGATTCCAACTTGAAGAAATCTCTGACTGAAGTCAACATGTAGACACCATGAGTTTTTATGAATGAATCAGAAGCTACTGCTGGGCTAAAAGAATCAGCGGGTTGTGTCTTGATGGAGACTGAGTCAGCAGAAAGTGTCGGTGGTTATTTGTTGTTAACGCTTTAAACTCTCCTGCTCTCCCTGCTAAACCTGCTTTGATCTACTGGGTTTTCACACATCCCGCCTGTTTAAACGAGCCACGATCCACATTCAGAGGCTGTGTAGGAGGGGCTGAATCACTCGGTATGCTCCCAGTTTTAGACGAGAATGCTGGCAGTCTTGCACAAAATCAGGCTTTTGTCACCTCACACCGATGCTCTGTCCAATTCTCCCTCTGCCTGTTAGCCTGCTAGCTCCTCTGTGGATGGCAGCTGTGGGAAATCCTGCTTTTGTGTATTTTAAGTATTGTAAGGATTCTGATTTGCTTCTTATTTCCAAATTTAACACTCAAATAGTGTTTTTTCCACCAGTGCCTCTATGGCACTGCTCTATGTGCCACTTTAGCCCCCCCAACCACCACTAAAGACAGCTTTAGCCCCCACTGGGCCGGTTCTTAAAAAGATGGCAACGGTAAATGTGCAGTTTTATTATTTCTAGGATCCGTATATGTTGTTAATGCCAGAAACAGGGGACCACCACAGAGGTGGAGTGAAGCCCCCGGTGTTGTAATAACAGGATAAATAACATATAACAGGATCTTTCTCTATCTCTGGCCAAAGTTTCCACCTCTCCCCTCTCAGCCCCCACTTGCTGAACTCTCTCTGGCTCATCATGTTGATGTCTAGCTGCAATATTTGGAAGTTATCAAAGCAACTAAATGAATCCCGGCCTGAAAGGGAGCGAGCGTTTTTGAAAATACAATCTTTTTCATCCACATGTATATGGTGTAAAAACACAAATACCTCACACGTGTCATTTCTGTGTATTGTGAAGCTACGTTAAAGTAATGTTTTACATCAAGGATTATTGGATTGCTATGATTTGCTCTCATAACTAAGAAAGGAGCTTTTATTTGACATGTCTACCTCATTTGTTACAGAATGTGCCAAAGAGTAAGTCAGTCCATGGTCTTATTGAGTATTTATAAAACTGTATTTGCGATGTTGTGTCTTGGTGTGTTTTGTGAACACAAATGCTTTTTCCAAACTTTATAGAGCTGACCAGACGACAGATACCAAAGTCTCATTTTAAATTAGATGGTCAGGCTCAGAATAGATTGGGATTATTAAATCATATAAATCTGTAGTTCCTCCTCATCTGTGGTCACCAGAATCTAAACCTTCCTCTCCCAGTCTGGACTCTGAGTGTTGCTGAATGTTCTCAGAGACATCACGAGTATTTACAGACTTTATACTTTAA